TGTGGTGTTTGGAAACGTCGACCGCCTTTTAAAATGGCACTGGTCAACCACTCATGGTTTGTTTGATCCCTCTCTGGTCACCGAGGAACGTTTGCAAAGATATCTTGCTGCATACCGTCGAAATGACGGGACACTTTGTCTTGACTTTAGAGAAAAAGAAGACGAATTGCATGTATGCCGATTAATAGCTTTCAAGCAGTAGGGTGAGGTCGGGAGTTCCAAACTTCCAGTCAGCTGCTCCTTATCTCTGAAATGCATTACCTTCGGCAATTCGCAATATAAAGACATTGGACACTTCTAAGACTGCTGTTAAAACTAATTTTTTAATTTAGCTTTTAAACAAATCTTATTGTTGGCTTTATTGTAGATGTTAATAGTTTTTAATAGCTTTCATTGTAGTTTTCAATAGTTTCTTGCGCTTTAATTTAGTCGTCCTTTAACATAAATTTAATATAACAATATTGTAAAGCGCAACCGAATATATTCAAGTAGAGGTTTGCGCTATATAAATGTAAATAACTATTATCATTATTGACTGTGAGTTTTTGAGACTGATTGTCCATTAAAAGTTTTTGTTGGATAATCCAAGTAATTTTACTCTAATTAGTTTTTCCTGTAAACTCGTAAACAACTTTGAGTTAATGTTTTGAAAAGGCGGAACAAATAAGTATTGTCACAATATTCCTACATGAAGACTTTGAACGACAACTTGTGTAATATACGGTTGACCAGTTTTACTTTTTGAAGTAACGATCGTGTGTATCGGAAATTTCTCGTTATACATACCGATTCTTTGTAATTTCTATATCTCCCTGACTATTTTGTATCCATGGACACTAACTGGACTTAGTGAATTTTGGAGTTAAAGCTGATTTTCTGATTACGCCACAACCTCGAAGGAAAATATGATAATTTTCCTTGCATTCAATCGGATTTTTACTGGTGTAAGATTACATTCCAGCTGATTAAGATTGACAGCTGTCAAGTCCAGTAGGATAAAAGGAGCTACAACAGGCTTTTGTTCATAGAGAGATAGAACAAGGTAGTATGATATTAAAATGTCCTTTTAACACTGGAGTGAGGTGAATACAGAGTTTACTGAATTGATCCAAATGAGAACGAGCTGGTGTCTTCCTTGTGTAGCCGACCCCCGACGCGGTCTTGCTATTACAACATGGTCAAAAAATCTATCACTGAAACAATCAAAATCTTTATTGCACTTCTTATTCTTAAGATAGCAGTAAGGTTTTTATGTTCACTAAAAAAGCTCAGCGAAATCGAAATCAGAACAAGTATTTGGGCGATTTAAGTCTTACTAGTAATTTAGGATTCAATTTTAATATGTAAAGCATGTAAAGCGCACTTGATCATATCCTCCTGTATGTTAATTTGCGCCATATAAATATTAAATATATCATTATTATTATTATTGTTATTATTATTATTATTATTATTATTATTATTATTATTATTATTATTATTATTATCATCATCATCATCATGACAGTGAAAGCCTGAGGAAGGACAACGCAAGTTCGTTCCAAGCCGCGAAATTAAGCTGATACAATCATTTCAGTAATCTATTGTAACGGCATTGTGAGTTTTAATTTATTACGAGCACTTTTATATTAGAGACCTTCAGGTTTTAAGACGAGGACGACTATATCATGACTACAAGATTTACTCGCCTCAGTATTAAGTAGTGCGCGTGCGTGAATAGCCGTCTTCATTCACCCTTTTAACTGAAAACCTTAACTGAAAACCTTTGAAAACCTCACTGGCGAAAAATATCTACGCATGCGCCGCGACAAAAATCACGTGGTCGATTTCCGGCAAAGTCATTGGCTTAGAGGCAAAATCCTCGCGAAATGTTGTCAAGATGAAAGAAGAAATGGCACTTTTTTTCGTAAGTGGATGTGCTGTGGTTTTGTTGCCACTGTGAGAGATCGGAAATTATTTTGGTCGAAATTTTTAGTGATATGTGTTGTCTAGTAGATAATGCGTCCTGGAACTGTCAGACAAACACACTGGCTCGATCCATTTAACCGAGATCGGCGTTGCGATCGCTGGATGCGAGGAGGGGACATGCAAAAAAGGTGGGTAATTTTCTCCTTTTATGTTTAGTGAAAGACTCGTGTAACTCGATACAACAAGAAATTATATAGCAGTGGAAGAAAAATTCTTGCGCTTTGTTTTGGTGTATGAATTAGCGTGTAACGGTCGAGTTGCAAGGAAGCGGCAGTGGTGTAAAACGTATAGACCCTTTTTGTGCTGTAAATCGACACGATTGGGTTCTACAGCTTGCCTACCATTTGGTTTGCCCACACTGTAAACATTTAGACACCTTTGAATTTTTATGCGTGGTTCAAGTTAAACGTAACATAACACTACACAACAGAAAATTAAAAGGCAGAGGGATAAATTTGATTTAGCTTGCACGTTGCTTTCATTGATTAAAACAAAAATATTCAGACTGCTAAATCTGAGCTCGCATACACTA